TTATTGATAATGCATGTTACTTGTCAATGATATTTCGTGATCTGAAACATAAGATGTTCAAATATACAAGAATTTAGAAAATATTTTACATATATGTTGTTGTTCTATTCAATATTTTATGCTCATGTACATTGGTTGATAATGATGTAAAAAATTTCGCACGCAGTATTTTCAGAAACATCAATTTGCAAATAAAAAAAATTTATTTTTACTTTTAATTTGATTATTTACTAAAAAGAAAGAAGTTAAGTCAGAATAAATGTAATTACAATTGCTATGAGTGCGTTATTTGTTTGTCAAGTAGACATTTCATTTTACATACATATTAAATGTATTTAAAAATAAGAATTACGATGTATAAAACTCGCTCATATGACGTTTTATTTAAATATTCAGGAAGTTTTTCATTCATAAAATTATAGAAAATAGTCAGTTGTCAAAAATAGAAACAGTCTAAATTTATCCAAACATATGAACTACGTGTAAAGTGTAAATATGTGTACAATTTAATTTGATTTGCTGTATTGAATACACATTCGAAAACAATCTCAATAAAGTATGCCCAAGGAGTATGAAAATACAACTGTTTCAAGTATTATTTATTTATGGGTAATTTAAATAAAAACTAAATTGTAAAATTGCTCATTTATATAGGTTTAAGTAATTCAGTTAGCATCTGAATTAAAATCTACAAATCAAATATGTTGGAAAAGAAAATATTAAATATGAAATTTAAAGTCTACAATATTTTAAAAATATATTGAATTAAATATTAAAAATCATATATGTAGACATATACTTGCATTTCTATATTTGATCTCTATATAGTCATCAAATTGTAAAGAAACTGGGGAAATAGAATAAAAATTTAATAAATAATAGCAAAACATGAAATTCAATTAAATATGATTGATTTTTTGTTTGCTAAATAAACACATTCTACGTTATAAGACATACAAAATAATTTTAATTTCATATATAGGGTGTTGGTTTTATAAACACATTAGGACTGTAAGATTTAAGAACTTTGTAAAGTCAAAGAATTAACTCTAAGAAATTGATGCACTATTTAATATATTTATTTATTTATTTAATCTACGTTCTAGCAATCCTAAGAATTTTTAGGCTTCTATGGGTTATTTTTTAATTATTTTAAATATTAGTTTTATAGTGACCAAATAATCCTTGGTTTTTCTATAAAAATAAATTTGATTTTCGTGATAAGCGAGGTGTTATTGAAAAGCGAATTGAAAAATGTATTAAAAAATTCTGTATTAAATTTTGTATTAAATTTTAAAATTAATTTTAATAATTGTTAGTTTAACAACCATGATCTTCATTAATGTATTTAGTTAATAATAAAGTTAGATTTCTCAGATTTGTAAAAATACCATTAAATTTTTTTTTTAGAAATTGGACATTTATTAGAAATACCTACAAAATCTAATATTTTGATACTGTTTACCTTTTAGTTCACCCTCTATATAAAATATAAAATATACAATTGTACATACATGTCTATATAAATTGCGGCGCTATAAGTTTTTTTACACTTTGAAATTATCTTCTATTTCGTACGATAAATTAAATTTCAAAACTATGTACACAAAAATATAAGATTTGAAGTGATTTTATGCTTTCTATATTTATTTGTTTTTCATATATCTAATAAACATTTCTTATACACGTAGTAGGAGGAAATTTCGAGGTTATATAAACGCGGGGTGGTTGAATATGCTTTCGTGTTTTGATAATAAATTTATTATCAACATTCTTGTCATGATTTTTCACTTTTTTTTTCTTTTACTTTTTTTACACATCACTTATCATGTATTTCTGATGATAATTAATAATTTAATTTTAAAAATAAATAAAATAAGTAAGGAAAAATTAAAGCAATAAAAAAATAGAAACGAAAAAAAAAGTGTTAGTGTTACTTGTAAAATTTTTTTTTGTGTGCTTATGTCGAAAGTATAACAAATGCACTAGAACGGTCGCTTTACATGAAATGTTATGTTGTGTTGCTTTTTATAAATCTAGTTCTAGTACGATGCATCAATATTAAATTAAATTTTAAATTTAACCCGTAAACATATCTTGTTTGAGTGTTAATTGGTTATATACATAAGGGAAATGGAAAATATTAATATAATTTGTACATAGAAAACTCTTCTTGAATTTTATAAATTTATTTTGATGAATTAAAATTTTTTTTGTTTAAAAAAGAGCTTTACTTTGAATGCAAAACTAGAATTAAAAAATTAATTGAATAAAATTATTTTGTCTAGTTTAAATTATTCTCTGCTTTTCATAATAATACTTGTATTATTATTATGAAAAGCAGAGAAGTTTCTTTGACATATTGTAATAAAATTTCAGTGATGTGTTCAAGAAACTTTTAGAACTTAAAGTGCGACTTTTAAAATACGTTGCTTTATTGTATTTTTTCTGTGTAACAATCAGGTGACGATGAAATCTGCCATTACCTTAAAGTTAGCAGCTCTTAAGTTGGGCTGCAGGTTGTTAGAATGTAATTTGTTTGATTATACATTGGCTTTTTGTGCTTCATCTGCTACGAGCAATTAATACCTGGACGATATTGCATCAACCACCTTACTTTTTGTGTTCACTTCTTAATTTTTAAAAATATTATGTTTTTATTATTATAGTTTATTAATGATTTGACTTTTAATGCAAATTGACCATTAATTTATAAGAAATGACAATTTGCTCACAAACATTAAGATTAGCAAAAAAATTTTTTTATTTTTTGTCTGAAATTAATTTTATTATAGTTTTTAATTTAAGAGAAATTCATTATACAACATTCTAATTTCATTTAAGTGATGTGCTTGCTTAAATGACCCCCATAATGTTTTTACATTCCAGTATTGATCACAACTAAATTTTAGATCTATAAAGTTCTAGTGAACGTAATTTTAAAGTTTTTATATTTAAATACCATAATGAAGGGTTTAATTTATGTGAAACATATAGTTGCATATCTATAAATGTAATTAAGCAGTTGTTCACACTTTTCAGTACTTGATTTTGCCTATTTGACAGACGTTTTTTTGTAAATTATATTTTATCAAGATTATCAGCTATAGTCAGACACCTTTAATTTTGTATATAAAAATTACAACACATATAAATAAAAGAGTTAAAGCAGAATTATGTATTTAATATTTTTTGTATATTATTAATTAAAATAATAAAAATAAATAAATTTTCCTTTTTAGTGCTTTTCCAAAAAAAATTTTGAAGAAAAGTGCTTATTAGTTTCATTCTGTGCCACACTTGAACTTTAAAAACAGACAATGGCCGTTATATTTGACCGTTGTCTAAGTTGGATTTTTTTCAAATTTTTGATAACATTTTTCTTCTAAAATCTAAACCTTAAGTAAGTTGTAGGAGTCTAAAATGGTACCAGTTTTTAGACTTTTCACCTCCTCTCAAATTATCGTCTTTTAAATTTCTAAAATTTGAATTTTGGCACCTTATATTTCCGAAAAAGTAAACTTTTCCGAACTTCTATAAATGCAGAAAGCTAACAGTAAATATTATGCCATTAAAAAATATAATTATTTTTTTTAAACCAATCGAATAATCCTTGTATTCGAACATTATGTTTACGCCTTTTTCAATTTTTTTCGGTTTATTTCAAAGATTAAATACCTACATTGCTCATCCGAAACGTATGCAATTTTCGGAATTTTGTTGGTATATGAATGGAAGTAATTTTAATAATTAATGTAGTACATCGTAAGATTGTTTTTAAAAGTACTATTTTCACTTGTTCAATGGAAAAGTGCTACATTACAAACCATTGGTTTGACCTAACTTTGTTTTTCATATAAACAAAAAAAAATAAAGCGTTGTAATTAATTATGAATAATTATTCATGCAGATTTAAGTTGTTGGTATCATGTGTCCACATTAAATATATTTTGTTTGTTTTATTAATAAAAAATTTTAAGCATAAAGTGTTGTAATCATTTCAACTTTTTTTTTATACTGTATCCTCTGTCATCATCATCATTGTATACTGTTATCATTCATTCACAATAAATTCGTGGTATATGTTATGTTATGTTAGTTTAATATATTAAACATAAATGCAGTTATCCCATGTAATATGTGGAAGTATTGTTTTCTTTGATTATACTTTTTATTTGTGAAAAATATTGAGCATTAAAGCGTCATAATAAATTTACATGACAAATCATGTCATTTGAAGGTTCAAGATTTATGCTCTTATGTAATCGTATTATTAATTTACTTTATACATTTTTACATAAATTATTACATAAATTTTTCATAATTATTACAAAATTTTTAAATTAATTTCATTGCACTCCTAAATTTACAATAAAACAAGCATCAGCTGTAAAAAGCGATAATAAGCTGATGATTAGGCTTCAGAAATTTAAGTTATAACAATTATTTCGATCAAATATTTCGTACCAATGTCAATTTTAAATTGTTTAATAAGGTTTTACTCGAGATCTTTGAATTACGCTAGTAGACGAAGAGGTTTCAGCTTTACCCTTTTTAAACTGTGTAGAATTGTTTTCTGAATAAATGCAAGAACGAACGAATGTTTAGGTGCAAGAGAAAACGACTAAACGACTTTTTCTTATAAATAAGTAATTGCAAATGTGAAATATGAAACAAGTTTGTATTTTGCTCAATGATTGACGAATCCTTCCATGTTTTTTTTTGTATGAAAAGTGTTGTCTTGTAAAATTTTATAACTATGGTTTTAATAATTTAGTTAAGTAACAAATTAACGCACACATCGCGCTGTTTATAATTTATTTTTTTAAAAATTGAGAATCTAATTAAATAAATTTGTATGTTACCGTTTTAATAATAATTAATAATTCCAATTTAAATTGATTTATTTTTGATTGATTTCATTAATGATAATTGTAATTACTTTTTTGTAATTTAAAAAATTAATCAAAGCTTTCTATAATTTATTATAAATTTTTCAGTTGAATCAACGTTTAACAATAAAATAAAAAATTTTCCAAATTTATTAAATACAATTGATAACCAAACTTGTCCAATTGGTTATTTTAAATGTCAAATTGATGGTGAATCCAAATGTATTGCACAACATTTAAATTGTAATGATATTGTAAATTGTGATGATGGAGCCGATGAAGAACATTGTGATGATAAAGATGAAGCTGTTTTTTGGGATATGAAATATAGAAAACAGCCGAGTGCGCTGTCTGATGATATACCAATTGGAAAATGTTGTAAGTACAATATAATTAACGTTATAAAATTAATTGTATTACACCTGTAATTAAAGAATTAATTATTGTTAATAAAAGTATATAATAAAATTTTTTAATGAATATATTATTTCATTTATGTTTTGCACGTGTATAGCTTTTAAATTTATGAACTCAACATGTCCATGTCGTGGAAAAGATTTATTATGTAAATTTCAACATTTAAATGAATTACCGAATTATTTGCCAGATGAAGGAATTTCATTACTGTAAGTGCTTCATTATTTTTATAAAATTAATTTCGTATCAAGTTTTTAAAGCAATGTAATATAATTTAATAATGGTATAAAATTTGATGTAGTCAATTTATAACCTATACCTAAAGCATTGTGTACATTTTTTGTTAATTATATACAACTTTTAATAAACCTATTCTTGCCATTTGAGCAAAAGAGGTTGCACAAGTTTACGATAATATTTTTTTTAAATTTTTTTCAAATTTAAAGAAAATAAATAACCTGCTTTATAGAAATTTGACTCTAATAAGAGCATAACTTTCTGGGTTTTCTTCAATGTCAGTGAAAAAAGATCAATAACGATAATTTTGCCTTGCGAGGAAATTCGGATTCCGAGTACTAGCATCACTAAAAAAATAATCCATTTATTTTTTTTTAAATATAAAATTTCCATATAGTATTTCAAAAACATCCTTAGCGATATCTTAGCTTTTAATCGCTGAAACCTATTGATCGGAGTAAGCTTGTCTTACCCTTAAAATAAAGCCAGATATAACGCTTATTACGACAGCAAATTGTCGTTCACACGATATTTCTGATAGCTTTTGTAATATTCTGAATTCTATCGAAAGATTTATAGTATTTACTAAAGATTTATAGTTTAAAAGATTTTTTAAATTAATTTTTTGCATGTTAGCTATTGTCTGCTGCACATTATGAAAAAATTTTACAAGATTTTCTTATCAATTTTGTTGAAAAGTTTAAAATCTATGATAAAGAATTTAAATCAAAAATTAAACAAAAACCCGAAAATTATGGGCCTATTTACACGAGTTAGCATTAAACGTACATGTGTATAACCCTTTTTTCATGCTTTTCGCACCCTTCTTCTTAAAAAAATAATATTTATTTGTAAAGTTGGAGAAGCTCAAAGTAAATGGTGCTCATATACTTAATGCTACATGTGTAAATAAATATATGTATGTAAAATATTGGGTAAAAATTATTTATAAAAAAATTTGATGTGATCAGCACTATTGTCTAGTTAAGTGAAAGTGTTACAGAAGATTATAAAAATGCCTTTTAAATGCTTCTTTCCAATTTTTAAGGGCGTTAGTAAACTTTAAGATCGCTTAACTAGAAAAATGTAGTTTTGGCTCTTAGTACAGATTCGCTTTGCGTAATCCGAATTCCCTAAAAACTGCCAATTGATTTCGGTAACAACCAGAGCTCAAATATCAAATTATTGGTCCCATAGATATGATAAAAAATGTAAAATCGGCCCGCAGTTCGGTTTTCGAGCCCCAATTGTTCCAAAAAATTTATTGAATCATTGATCATCAATATTGAATTTATTGATCAATTCGTGACATAACCAAAACAAACTCACACATGAAAATTGATTCAGCCGAACTTGAGATACACGCGTGCACAAACAGATAGACAGACCGACACCTCTCTAAAAATAGTTTATTAACGATTTCCTACTATGGAGAAGTTGGTTCTCACCGAAAACTCGACATGCAAAATTTTTCTGCCATCTCATAGCCTTCCTTATTGTATGCAATGCAGTCGGTAAAAATATTGAAATGTTTTCTTAACTTGAATCAACTTGAAAATAATTTTTGTAACTATTTGAAGGTTTTCAAATTATTTTCAATTTGTCAGTATTGGGGTCGGTTTATCGAGGCCATAAATTTTTATTAAAATCGCTTCAACTGAACTAAAATACAAAAATTGCATATTTGAACTAACATTTCGGTAAAAGTAGAATGATTTACGTCGAAAATTCACTATATGAATTTAGCTACGATTAAAATACTCACCTTTATGTATCCAATGCTGTAGGTAAAAAGGGAATGATCAGATGTTAAAAATTTCAATTTTCAATTTTAAATGTTTCGTTTCAGAGATTTAACTGGAAATCATTTTCCAATTTTAAAAAGAAATTTTTTTTCAACATTACAGCCTACGGAGATTATGTAAGTATTTTTCCTATATAAAGATATCATTTTAAGAAATACATAAATATAAATTTGGTTATACAGTGGAAATTTTCTTTTTTTGTTAATTTACTTATTTCATTAAATATTCTTAAGAAAATAAAAGCATGCTTAATAAGAGTTGTTCAAATTTTTTCCGCTTTGGTTATAAATTATTATTTGGAATATACAAGAATAATCTAGGAATAGATATCAGTCATGTGATATAAACATGACGTAAATGAGAACGGTTTGTGAGTGGTAAATCGTGAACTTCTAGAAAGGATCCGGTTTTTTAAATATGATATTTTTCATGGTTAATAATTTTTTAATTTTTCGATATTTTTCGATATTTTTTACGGTTATCAACAATGATTTACAATGTACAATGTTTCATACAAAATATTAATAAACTTATAGGTATGTGTATTGGATCATCCTTTTGCATTTCATAGAGGTCTTATTTTTTTTTGTTAAATAAGAATTAACCTTAAAAGGTGTACTCTAATTGGATTTTTTATATGGTTTTTGTTTTCAATTTTTTAAGCAAGAATTTCTTTTGAGGTTATTTAATAATTTCAAGTACATATATAATACACTTTCATGCATATAATAAATTATAACACTTTTATTAAAATTTTCTTTGTTATATTAAAATTTTAACACTTTATTTGGAGGTGGTAGTAAATAGATCGTTCCAGATAATGACTTCATATTTTGTGATCTAGTGACACAAGAAACTTTTCTTACACGTGCTTTATACTTACTGACCTACCCCATGATGAGATAAATGGTTAAAATGTCTTTAATCCTGACCATAAGGATTTTTAAAGATAAAATATATTTAAAAATTTTTAAAACATTATTTTCCTTAAACAAATGAAGTTTTGTTAAGGTCAGCCGAAGGTCAAATATTATACTATTTTCATATAAAAATTGAAGAGGTAAGCGGACAAAGGGGTTAAATAACATTGACGAAAATCGAGGTTTTCGGATAGAACATCATTAAATTTCATATATTTTCAACTGTGATTAATCTTGTTACTAGAAAATTAATAGAAGACGAGGTTGACAGTGCACATAGGAACTAAGTAACAAAAAAATTAATTGTTTTACAATTTGTTAATGAAAAATGTGTTAAGATCCCAATGTAAGTGAATCCCTTTGTCCACTTACCGCTTCAATTATTTTTAGAACTTTGAAGAATTTGTTTTTGGCTGTTTTTAATGAAAGTAGGCAAGGTATCATGCTACATTTAGACAGTACGATAGGATAAGAAAATCATTAGGGCAATGCTTTCCTAACTTAAACTTTCTTGAATACAGGCGATTGTGTTCTGGAAACTTTAAAAATTTTATGTTTGGTGGAATTTTTGTTAAACCTATTTTAAGGTTTTGTGAGAACGAAATTTATCAAAATGATTAAGGCTATATATAAAACGAGAAAAAAAATAGAGTTGACCTTGTCAAATCTGTGATACCCGTACGAATTTGTTATCCTATGTGCGAATAACTAATGTACCATAACTAACTATGGGGCAGACTATGGCTTTAAGTTACCGTATTACCATATTAATTTATGCAAAATTTCAGTACTTTGTGTTATTCAAAATACTGGTTGTGCCGAACTACTATAGATGTGGTATGGCACCCACCAGAAAGAGCCAGGAAATTTAAGAGAATTTTATCAAGCACATCGGCCCTACTAATATATTCACTTGTGTGAAATCTCAATATCACAGCTTCTATAGTTTCTGAGATTACCCAAATAACTTTTGAAGTTGTATGGCAGGTACCAGAAGGAGCCAAGTAATTTCAACGACTTTTATGTGACACATTGGCCCTACTAATATATTCGTTTGTGTGAAATTTCAATACCATAGCTTTAATAGTTTCTGAAATATAGCCAAATAATTTTTGAAGTTGTATGGCAGATACCAGAAGGAGCCAAGTAATTTCAACAACTTTTATGTGGCATATTGGTCATACTAATATATTCGTTTCTGTGAAATTTTAATACCATAACTTTTATAGTTTCTGAGATATAGCCAAATAAATTTTGAAGTTGTATGGCAGCTACCCGAACCGGTACCCCGATCATGTCCAATTTAAATAGGGTTCTGGCACTTACTACAATAAATAATTTGTGAAAATTTGGTGAACTTAGCTCAATTAGTTTTTGAGTTATCGTTGGGACGGACGGGCGGACGGACGGACGGACAGACAAAGCTAAATTAACTCAGAATTTGACGCTGATCAAAAACATACACTTGAGTTTATATCTAACACCGTTATTTCTTAGCGTTACAAACGGTAAGGCAAATTTAGTATACCCTTCGAACATACGTTCGTACGGGTATAAAAAGGTGTAGGGGATCAAACTACTCATGGTTTTTAAAATAGCACATTTTTCTTTGACAACTTAAGTCTATAGAGCATGAAAAAGTAAGCAAGTGCTTAAATAATTTAAACGATTCATTAAAAAATTTATATTAATATAAAGGTTTGAATTGTATTGGTATATTTAATTTAGTTAAGGGTGTACTTTTGAATAGTAGAACGATCTCTGTTATATTTTTACTCTTATAAAAGTTCGGTATAGTTCCAAAAAATGGAATTTTTCAATATATATAAATTTAAATGTGTCATTTGCTATGTAAGAGAAAAATTAACCTAAAATCAAAGAAAAACTGCTTCTAGGTAAAGGTTAATTTGAAGAATCACCTCAGGCTATATAGTTCCCAATTATCAAAGAAACAGTTCCTAATCTTTCTAGACTAATAGGCAAATTTCTTCAAAAATTTTTTGAAAATTTACCAAAAAGATTATATTTTTATTAATAAGACAAAATTGAAATTTATTTAGAAAATATTTTTTAATGTTTTCAATTTTTAGTGTAATGGAATTTTGTAATATAGTAGAGGTGGAATCATTTACCTTTGAACCATTTTCAAAAAATGAAGTAAAACAAATGTGAGTTATAAATAGAAATTTGAAAAATTTTCAAAAGTTAATTTCCCTTATTTTTAAATATTTTATATTTAAAATTTAATTTTGTTTTTATTCAATTTAAAGAATTTTGGATCATAATGAAATTACAAATTTACCGGAGAATCTTTTTGATGATAAGAATTTAGTGAGAATTTTGTAAGACAACTTAATTAAATTATTTGGTTTTGTAATCGGTTTAAATGAAATTCACTTTATTAATTTTCTTATAGGTTCTTAGCATCAAATAAAATAAATATTTTACATGAATATGATTTTCGAAATCTCCATAATTTAGTGAAACTGTAAGTATATTTTGTATATGGATAATATTTGCGACTATACTAGAGTTTTTACACGAAATTATTTTTTTTTACAGGGATTTAAGAAGAAACGAAATTAAAAGTTTTTCGTTAGAAGTCTTTAAACCATTAGAAATGTTGGAATCTCTGTAAGTATTCATAAAAATGATATTTAAATAATGATTTTCAATTTCATATGGGATACGACGCGACCTGTGTGTGAATTTGAAATTAATTTCATAAGTAGAACTTTGTTTTCGTGTTTAAATATTGAAAATAAAGACTTTTGAAATCGAATAAAAGAAACCCAAATATCCTAACATAAGTGTCATTTAAGGAATTCAAGTTTTATTATCACAGCAGTCATAAGGAATTTGTCTTTAATATAATTTCATTTAGAATGGAATAGATAGAATGTTGCTTTCTTGAAAAAGTTCCCTTGTCACTTAAATTTCAATTACAAATAAGTTCTTAAGTCGGTAATGCTTTTGATCCTTTTGATTGGCTATGAAATAAAGCTTTGAGGCTTACCTAATTTTTGCGTACTGTTGCAGAAATATGGGCACAATTCTATTTAAGTTTGAGATATGCAAATTGGAGATATGCAAAAAGTTGTTAAACAATTTCAAAAATAACTTAAATGTTTCTCTAATAAATTATAAATATTAAAACGTTATAATTTCATACAAAAGAATGTAATACTGCTGCTACTCTTATTAAATAAATTCACAAAAAAACAAAAAAAAAAGGAATTTATCTTTGAAGCTATTTAAGAAAGCCACCTTATAACTTCAATATTCTTTTCTGAGAATGAGAATGAGTCGTAATTCTTAGAATATTAGAATAGATTGAACTTTAAAATTAACCTACATATGCATAACTCTCAAAATCATTCGCAACTTCACATGGTCCCTTCTATATTATATTTATATTTTTATTAATTTATTTAAAACTCATTAATAAAGTTACAAATTTGTTTGTTTTTTGTTTTTAGGCTATTAGACGGAAATTATATTCAAGTGATACATCCTGGTCTTATACCATCACTAAATAATTTACGTATTTTAGGTTTAGCTGAAAATCATATTGAATTATTCGAACCGAAATCATTTAATTTAATAAATTTAAGTCATCTGTAAGTGAAATTCTTTCTTCTATAAATTAAATCTTAATTTGACGATTTTCATTTATTCTAGGTTCCTTTCATCGAATAAATTGAGTACAATACAATCAAAATCATTTTGTGGACTTGAAAATTTAATTGTTTTGTAAGTATATGACAACAATATGTTTTATAAGAAATACTCAAGGTTACATCATGCTGATTTCGAAATTTAATTCTAAAGAAAAGTTTTCATATCCAAACCCTTATAATTTATTTAATTTCGTTTTTTTAATTTATAATTTTTAATATTTCTGTTTCTTCCTGGGATTTTGACTAAAATAAATGTTTAGGTTTGCCAAAAACATGTTTTAATTATTTAAAAAATCTGATGTGATCAGCATATAACCGACCGCAATGTATATTGTCTAGATTAGTAAAAGTATTCAAGAAGATTACAAAAATGCATTTTAAACACTTCTTTACAATATTAAGGACATTAACAAGCTTTTAGTTAACATACCTAGAAAAATCTGAATTTGGCTCTTAGTAAAGTTTCATTTTGTGCCTTTCGAATTATACGAAAAGCTCGTCAAAAATTTCTGGTAACAAACAGAACTCAAATTTTAATTTCAAGAAATTCCATTAATTCGTTCCGTAGATATGATAAAAAATGTAAAATCGGCCCTCAGATCAGTTTCCGAGATTTAATCTTTCCAAAAAATTTACACATCCATTGCTTTACCACTTCGAATTTAAATATTAAATTTCAATGAAATCGGTTGAATATTTTTTTATTATATACGCATATTTTGCACGTAGTACACGTTCAGTTGCTGATTTCTTCCAAAAGTTAGGAGGTTTCGCGGACGATCGAGTAAAGCTTATATATGAAATTTCAAGCAAATCTGTTGAATATATTTTTTAAAATGATCAAAACTGTAAAACAGGCCCGCAAAAAAGTCCAGTTCCCAAGGTCTAATATATCCCAAAAGTTGATCAATCCGTGCCATAGTTGAAATAAACTTAAATATAAAATTTCATGGAAATCGGTTCAGCCGAACTTGAGATACACGCGTGCACACACAGACAGATGGACAAACCGACACCTCTCTAAAAATAGTTTATTTACGCTTCTTTACTATTGAGAAGAGTGTTCCCACCGAAAATTCAATAAGCAAAATTTGTTGCCATCACATATTCTCCCTCATTGTATGCAATGTGGTCCGTAATTAATTGCAATACTGAAAAGTTTGTGATCATAGAAAAAATATTATTTTACAATTAACGTGATTTACTGGATATTTGAGGGAATCTTGTTCATTTCACTTAAAACTGGTGATAATATAATTTTGTGCAAAAACTGACTATTCTACTAGTTGTTTATAATATTCGAATAGTTCAGTAATTCAGTGATTTAGTAAATTTGTTTAACTGATTTTACGAGGGCAAAATGCTTTAATTTAAAGAGTATATTACATGTATGTCTATAATGTTATTACCTGCATCAAATCCTAATTCTTATACGGAAATATGAGGAAGCACTTGTTGTCATGGCCTCACTCTTGAGTTGAAGAATTAATCGTAGTCAGTATCATCCATTTTGAGCCATTTTTATTTAGAATTTAAATTTTTATATAATGTTATTTAGAATACTGTTTTTTTTATAGATAAATTTAAAGAAATTTGTTAAGATATTTTCTTAAACTCTTCATAATTTCGGCTAGTACACAAATTTAATTATTTTCTAGTCAGAAGCGTTTTATAAGTGAATCTAATTCAATGTATTCAAGCATTTTCCATAAACTTTATTAAAAAAGTTTTGCATTGCTTTCAGTTTAACACTGTAAAGAAATGATGGTATCGAAAGTGAAGGATGGGGTACGACATTTCCTATCAGGCAGGATAAAATTTATTTTTCAACCTTATTGTTTTTTCTCTTTTTGCGAGAAAAAAGTTTTCTAACACTTTAGTAATAATTTTTCCTCCTTTTTTTGTTTTTGTAAATTGAAAAGTTTTTTTTACGTCCGTTTTTATAATAATTTGATTTATAACAAAATTTTTTTCATATTTTTGACAATTCCTTTATTTTTTCGTTACAGAAAATTGGATAATAATGAAATTTTAAAACTTGAGCCAGAATCATTTACTTGTATAGAGAATTTAACATCACTCGACCTGACAGAAAACAGATTTCGTACTTTAGATAGAAAATTATTTCGTAATTTAACAAAATTAAATCACACGTAAGTGTTTTTCCCTTTATTTTATTTAAAATTAAAAAAGCATGATGTAAAAGTAAAGGAAAAGTTAGAAGCTGCGAAATATGAATATTTTAGAAAGTGTTTATTTTAAATTTTGAGAAAATCTATTGGGAACTGAGAAGTTCATTTTATGCGTATTGGCTATATAATTATGCAGGTGAAATTGATGACTTACTTATTCACGCTTACTTGTCTTTTAGGAGTCTTTTTTTGTTAAACGGACATGGAAAATAATTATGAAGCATTAATTATAATGAAGTTAGAACTATTCAACCGTGCGTTGTATGTTGAATTATGCAAGAATCTTAGAAATTTCCACGTATAGAACTGAAGTTAATCAATTATTAACAAATGATAAACATAATATAAATCAATGTTATAATCTTATATAACTAAGACGCTGTGCCTAATAAATTTCAAGAATATTGCAAATATTTTTATATAGATCGCTTAATATGAGGATGGTACAGTTTTCGGATCAAATTTCACATAATATAAAAATATAATATAGATGCGCTTTTCCGTGTTAGAGAAACTTCTAAAATCTATTTTCAGGAATATTTTTGCAGGCATGCCTGAATCTCAATTCTCACTTAACTGATTATTTGCATTGCAAATTGAACCAAGCTTTTGACAGTAAATTATAATTAATGATTTTGAGACGAATAATTTTGTATGTTATGTGCGACTCACACCAGATTTTTCGAATATTTAATTGAAATTGTATCATAAAAATGCAGCAATTTACAAAAAACTCTTTTACCATATTTTACTAGCATTTTTTAAAAATATTTATCACTTTTGTAACATGTAAAATTTATTCGAAAAATCTTTGCATAGTGCGTGAGTTTTCATCCTCTTATTGTAAATCTAATTACATCCTTAAGTTGTATTTAATGAACATTTTAAAAGGTGGACTGAGTTGTACTTAAGAACGCAGCTTTTTAATAATAAACGATATTGACTCCCTTTTTTACGAAATAACTTATAAAATAATTCACAAAATAACCAGTGAGTACAAAATGTAACACTGTTAGAAATAAGGTAATTGATATCAGGCAAATATTGTAAGAGCATTTCAAATTTGAATAGAATGGTTTAATTGAAATTCATAATATTGCAGTATTGAATATTTGTTACCTTAATATTTGGTTATTAAATTTTAATTAATTTTTTTTTTAATTTACAGTTATTTCTCTTATTTTCATTTATGTGGCGCAGTTCCGCATGTACGTAATTGTGAACCAAAAACTGATGGTATTAGTAGTGCTTATCATTTATTGGATAGCATCATATTAAGAACAAGGTAATTTGTTTTCTATTTTGTAAATAGTTTTTGAATGTTTTCCAAAAATTTTGATTAAAAATTTTTCCGGTCACTTAACAAAATTGTGTATATAAAAATTGTTATTAAAAGTGCCTTTTCTTTAAAGCAATTTCAAAGCAAAATAGTAAATTAAGATTGTATACTGATAAAGATGCGCAATATTAAATTTTAAAACAATAATATTTTCCTTATAAAACAAATTGAGATGAAAATGAATTCACCAAAATATCAGAGATTGGAATGTTAAATGAAAATATTTCAGGGAGAATGGGAATTTAAATTGTCGAAATTATTGTATGCCAATTTTGAGTTCCAAGAAGAGGAAATTTAATTTCATAATAAAAATTTCTTTTATAAAATTTATACTTTCTTAAGAATATTATTATTATAGAATTGAATCCTATAAACAGAAAACCATATAAATATACGTATATACATACATATATTCGTTTTAAATTTTCAAAAGAAGAAAACCTTTTTGAAATTAAGAAAATCTTTTATTTAAATTTTATTTTTACATATGGTATATAAGTATAGGCCCAAATTGTAGAGTTTAAACTGAAGTGGGTTGTACTACAGAGAAAAAAATGGTTTTTAATGTTATTAAAACCTTAACTGGTAATATTTTGTATTCTATATAAAACAGAATTAAAATTTCAATATTAAATTTCAAGAAAATGCATTTGATTATTTGGACGCAAAAATATGAAATCGGCCTGCAAAAAGTGTAATATATCCCAAAAGTTGCTCAATCGGTGCCATAGCCAGTGTAAACTCACAGTCAAAATTTAATAAAAGTCGGTTCAGCTGAACTTGAGATATACGCTTGCACTCATAGATCAACAGATAGACAGACCGACACTTCTCTAAAAATAGTTTATTTATGCTTTTTTACCATGGAGAAGTGCATTCCCACCGAAAACTCGATATCCGAGATTTGGTGCCATCACATCATCTCCCATATTGTATGCAATGTGGTTGGTGAATATTGTAAAAACTATTTATTTATTTTGAATTAGACCTTTTCACAGTAACTACTATTTGCATATTAATTTAGGAGTTAAAAATGATTATTAAAAAACTTGTTGGAAAATTTGACTTGTATAGAAAAATGTAGTCCTATTCAACTAATTATAAGATAGGATTACATTCAATATCAAAAATCAAAAGTTTCAAGTCAGTGTTTCGAAATTTTTCTTACAAGGTAGATTTTTCAAAATGGAGGTGAAAAATGTCTGAGAAAAATTGTTTAGCATATTCTGAGTTAATGTAAGATTGTTTGACCGGCATTGGTCTTGTATAAAAAATCAAATTGTAGTCAATTGACTTTTGGTGATTGTATTCGTTAAATTAAAATAGCAAACTCTGAACCTCACTTTTTGAGTGATTTTGTTAATTATTATGAAAAAATAGTAGTAAACGAGAAACAACAAACTTGTTACACTCAGTGTACAAAATTTTGTAATATACTAAGCAAATGAGAAAAGGTACGCAATAATTTATGAGACAAAAAAATATAAATGATTAATTTTATTAATAATATTAAAACCTTTTTATTTGTAGTCATATTTATTTTTAAAATCTCCTTGAATATGTCTGTTTATTACAAATATGAAGGATTTTTCTTTTTAAATGAAAATTATCTTGAAAAAGTCTCTTAGAAAGAGTTTCATTTCGCAAACTGATTTTAAAAATTGCTTTCTTTTAAAAGGGGTATAAGATTTTGTTTCTAAAAACGTATAAGTTTCTAAGCGACTTGGTGAAAATACACATAATATGGATAAAAAGGATCATCAAGGGTTGTAGAAACAAAAATTTCATATTTTTATAAATTTATAATTTTTAAATAATCGGTAATTTATTTTTCAAGATAAACATCTTTTACATGATGAGCATGGTCAATGTTTTGTTTCAATTTTTCCAAATAATTTAGAAGTGGATTGCTTTGGATAAAAAATTGTCAATAGAAATCTCTATTACCTATTACACTGTCTTACTTTGTGTTATAAAGAAGAAAGTTAACTTAAAAAGAAATATTAATAAAGTGGAAATATTAAATTTTTTTGAATAATGAAGAAACCGAAATAATTTTATAAAAACTGAAAATTTCAACTTATAAATTAAAACTTCATTTCGACTCAAAAACTTATGATTTATTTATAAAAACATTTGAAACCTGTTAAGTCTTCTTTGGTAAAAACTTAGGTTTTTTATATTCCGATAATTTTTTTAAAATTCACTGATTTTAATAAAAATTTTTAAAATTTTAAATTTGATTTCTTGAATTTACTTTTTAATTTTTTCAGCGTTTGGATAATGTCAGCTATTGCAGTTATTGGTAATTCAATTGTATTAATTGGAAGATTTTTTAGTAAATCAAGACGTAATGTTGACCAAACATTATATTTGAGACATTTAGCTGGTAGTGATTTTTTAATGGGCATATATTTAGCAGCAATAGCAACAGCTGATATAGAATTTCGTGGTGAATATTTAATACATGAAGAGCAATGGCGTCATAGTATTGCGTGTTCAATATGTGGTAATATAAATTTAAAAAATTGTTTTAAACATTTTTCACATTAAATTATTCATAATTTTAATGAGTTATTTATTGAAATATAATTAATATAACATATATGTATATGTGTCTATTGAATTTTTCATATATTCATACATATAAAAGGATTTTTGAGTACATTAAGTTGTCAGTCGTCAACATTACTTTTGACATTAATTACATGGGATAGATTAATTTCAGTAACTCAACCATTACAACCTAGGACAACAACAAAAGCATTGTAAGTATTTAACTATATAAATATATAAGTATATTATAATGTGTGTAATATTCAATGAATAATAAAATAATATTCAAATATAATTAAAAATGATTTATTTTTTTCTAAAATATTTTATAAATTCACAGAGTAATATTGAGACTTTCAATGTTATGGGGAATATCAATAATTGTAGCATTTGCACCTTTCCTATATGATGATTATTTTGGTGATTATTTTTATGGCAGTAATGGTGTATGTTTGTCGTTACATATACATGATCCTTATGCTAAGGCTAGTATATTATTAAAGTATATTTTAAAAGTTTAATTTAGAAAATGTTAATTCAATTCTAATAATAAACTTTTATACTAAAATTTATTAATTCAAAAATTTTCTTAATTCTGTAGGGTTGGGAATATTCCGCCGTATTGTTTATCATTATAAATACATTTTCACTAATTTTCATTGTGATATCATATTTCCGTATGTTACAAGCAATACGTGGTTCTGGTAAAGCAATGAGAAGTACTGTAAGCGGAAGAGAAAATGTTTTTGCAAGAAGGTAAGTGGAAAAAACACAAGTTAAAATTTCATGAAAATTATAAAACCTTGAAAAATAATTGAAAAGTTGCTATACAAACCAGAGATCTTGTAGGTAAAATTAAAATAAAGTGCTCATTTATATTTGAGAAATATCTAACATACGAAATCCTTTAAAAAGAGGAAAAAAAAGTGAAAACACAAGAAGCTTTTATGTAAAACGAATGATTTTAAAAGGAGCAAATTATTGAATTATTGTTATGAAAAATATTTGCTTTTTTAAAAGGACAGTACTCGTATTTAGTTTAAATTAGCTTTTTTCTAATTGCATACACAAATAATCAATTCATATGACAACAAGTAATAAGCCAATATATTGCTGGATCTAGAATTATTTAGAGCAAATTAGGTCAATTTAAACATAACGTATAGGTGTTGTACTTATTTTGATATTTAAATATCTGTTGGATTCCCCTCGATTCTGTGAAAATTTTCGGAGGTAAAAGTTACCAAAGTTTAGGAATGTTTTTTATATTGGAATATCTTAATTTCGGATTAAGATATATAAAGAAAATAACTCAAAAATTTAAACAAAACGTATATTTTTTAAGCCGACAGCTAATTTGAAAAATAATTTGATTTACTGACAATTTATTCATGCTTGGTACTTTAAATAGGAGAAAATGATAATTTTTAGAATAATTTTGGAGGGAGTGATAAATTAATATAGAATTTTCGTTGCACAAAAACAACAAGCTCAAATAAGGTTATTTTCTTAGAGTATATAAAAAATTTGTAGAGAAGTACAGAATTTTTAAAATCATTTTTAATGCTTTTCCAAAAATGGGAGAAAATTGCTTATTTTTTTCACTTTATCCGTCTTTGCATCCGTCCGTCTATCTGTGTATCTGCTTTCAAAACTTATACACCCTTGAAGATAGAAAGCTGAAATTTTATATGTAAATAGATCTTTACTAGAAACCTATTTCTTTAGAAGAAAATTTTATCTATCTCCGCACCTTTAAAAGTTATACCGCCCTGAAACCCTAAAAATGTCATTTTTCTAATCTTTATTGCACTGAAACTATACGCATTTTTCAAATTTTGCAAACGCAGAAATATAGTGGGTTCCTTTCTACTACGGCATACCATACCTGAACTTTCAAGAAGCAAAATGGCCTCTAAAATTTACTGTTATTTAAAGTCCTTTTTTTCTAAAATTTTGATACCGTTTTTCTTCTACACGGTACGTTGAAAGAGTCTGAAATTTTAAGAAATTTTAGACACTAATAAATAGTTCATTTTGTTAGAAATTTTTTTCCCATCTCCACCCTCTTTCAAGTTATCGTCTCTTGAATTTCGCGAAATTTTAATTTTTGGTACCTTATATTTCCGAAACCGCAAGCTTTTTTAAACTTCCACAAACGGAAAAAGATAACGGTAAACTCCATGCCATTAAAAACTATAACTTTTTTTTTTAAGTTACGCAATTAACCCTTAAAATCGAGCATTATGTTAACCCCTCTTTAAATTTATTTTTCCTTCATTTCAAAGACTGTATAAATTGCTCATGCTGAATGTATGCAATCCTTGGAAGAGTTTCGTATGTGAATGAAAGTAATTTTATTAATGTAGTTCGTAGCTAGTTTGTTTTTATAAGCAGTATTTTCATTTGTTAAATGAAAAAGTGCTACAATACAAACCATTCGTTTGACCCAACTTTATTTTTAATGTTTTTATTTTGGTTTGCTATGATTGATCTACATAAACCAAATGAACTAAAAATGGGAAACGCAAAACAATATCTCACATATTTTTCGTATTTTGCAATTTTTTTTTTAGAAAATTGTTATTCTATCTGAGTTCAATTATTTATTGGTAAAGTAAATTTTCTAAATTAATCATGCTTACTTTAACTTAGTATAAAATTTTTATTAGTTTCTTAAATATTTAAGAAATTTTATCCTTAGCTTTAAGATTTTAACTTATTTTTTTCGTATTCCTTAACATTATCTATTTACAATATGAAATTACTTTTAAAATATGAAATGGAAATGTCATTGCATATGAAATAAAAGATGTACTATATCAATTTTTGTTACAGAGCTTAATTTACACAGTAAAAAATTTTAATGAAAATTTAAAATAAAATGTGTTGGCAGAAACATTTCATGCTTCTATAAATACTGAGTTTCTTAACAATATGCATATATCTATTAATTTACAAAGTTTGTGATTAGATCCCAATAATAAAGAGTAAAGAAAATTAAAAAAATTTTATGCAATAATGAAAAGTGATATTAGTTTCAGTGTTGGCTGCAGGATCAGCATGTCATCAAAAAAGTAAAAGAAATGTAAAAACGTAACCCTAAATCTAATATCATTAAGTAAATCAATTATAAAATTAACGATGTGATGATTAGGAGCTTAGTATACTACATTTAAATTCTTTTTGCCTGTTTTTAACTAGAATGATTAAAAACAGGCAAAATAAGCTTATTCGCTACAATTGTTAAAAACAGGTAAAACAAAGTTCCATTGAAAAATCCACTTTCAGTCATATAATAATTTTAATATTTCTTGGAAATTCTAGATAATCTTAAATTGAGTTTTTAATAGATGTTTTATTAAATTTCCATTTTAAAATATTATCCTCAATGAAAACTTTACAGTTTACTAAAATACATGAATTTTTCGCAGTGTATTTAAAGATAAAAAAAAATCTTACATATGTATGTATAATATAGTTTATTATATTTGAACGCTAGTGTCTATAAATTTTCATTTGTGTTCGATTGTGTGTACTTGGAAATTGAATAGTTTTAGTATAAATTCCTTTCAAGGAATTTATTTAATGGAAGATGTTTGCTTATTTCAATTTCTACTTCCTATATAATATAAAATGATCCGTCTTGACAATTTCTACATATTTTCTGCATCGTATGAAAATTGGAATTGTAAACGGATATAAGAGATCATGTGATTGAATATTTCCCTCTAAGGCGTTTGTAATTTTAAATATTTAAATATTTAGAAAATTTAAGTAAAGAAATTTAAATACAAATTTTGAACCGTAAATATTTATAATTTTACTCTTGAATGTTGTAAAATATTTTTATTGAATGTCCTAGAATTGATTGAAAGTAAAGTATGTAAACATCATTTTTTATAACTTAAATTGCTGTGATACTTTTCTAAAGGAAAGTTTCTATGTTTCCTGAGAAAAAGTCTTTAAAAAATTTTTCGAATCTAGATAGGCTGGGATTTGAGTGTTTACAAAATTATATAGAAAAATTTTTATGAACGTATTTTCGAAAGGAATTTTTAGTTTTCTATTCCGTTTGTAGCGCTAAGAAATAACGTTTTATAGGACATAGATATTTTTATATAAAAATGTCTGGCTTATCGTCGAATTCTGAGTCCGTTCAAGAGATAACTACAAGACTAATTGAGTTATTAAGTTCACAAAATTTCCTCGAATAATTTATTATAATCTACTATACATATAATTCCGAACCTTATTTGATTTGTGTTCGATATAGTAAATTTAGTAATTTCAAAAATTATAAAAACAGTAGGTTCTAATAAAATTCCGTGGAAATACCATCTTTGTGTTTGATTATTGCAAAACTTCAAAAATTAATTGATAATAATGTAGCCATTATTTGTACATTATTATCAATTAATCATTCATATACGGTATGTATACAATATAAATACTTCTTGAAACACTCTCTAAAAGTTGACGATATTCTCGTTTTATATAAACGTTATCATTCTAATAAAATCATTCAGTTCAACTGAATCAACTTTAAAATATAATTATCTATTTGTTATTTAGTTTATTTCATTTGTCTATAAATTTCAAGAGAAATGACTGAACCTTATTCGAGGCTTAGGATTTTATTCATTAGAATATGATAGCCAATAAGTAATTATTTGGGTCTCCATCAAATATAAGCTTAATTACCAAATAAGCAGACCGTAACAAGACCATAAGAACAATATCGTAAATCTTATTATATCTTATATGCAGTTTGATTCATTAAATATGCTTTAGTTTAAATGAATTTCTGTAAAATTTTGTATAATCTGCTTACATCTTTGAATAAGATTGAATAATTTTATATATACTTAGGACTCATTTCATTTTCAAATGACTTTATTTAATATTTTTGCTATAGATATTGAAATATATATTTTTTTCTAAAGAGTGGTGATACATCAATGTCATTCATACATTATGTGTATAGTATTCAAATAATGTAGGAATATAATAAATCGTCCTTGTAGTTCTATATGTACATACATATACATATTTATATTGTGTAGGTATTAAATGAAATAAATTTATTCAATTCAATATAATTTAGACCTTTTCATACAATTGGTGTTTTGATATTCAGCAATTCCAAATGTATTAATAAAATTTACCTTGAAATCATGTAGACATTTTATTAGTTTCAATTTGTTAAAATTATAAAGATCCAAAAATTTTGTAATCATATGCAAAATATTTGTAATTATTAATCATGTATACTTGATTTGGGGGGAATAAATTTGCAATTCAATTTAAAAAAATCCTTTATGTTTCTTTAGTCAAATGAACAGATAAGGAAATTTAAGTGAAATTGACTAAAATGAATTAAAAAGGAAGAGTAATTATAACGAGTAGTAATTTTTCCACAAAGCATAATTTCTAATAACAATTAAGTTTGAACGGGAATAATAATTTTGGTATAAGTAAATGGAAATTTTCAGTTGACTGCTTTAATTTTGAAATAGGAAATTTATTTACGTTTTAATAATTAGAAATTACAATTATTGATCAAATACAATGAAGTACCAATTATGTTTGGTAAAATAAAATTTAAAAAGTTATGGAAATTTCAATGCTAACCAGTATTGAAGTTACATCTAAGAGCTAAGATTTCATAGAGTATATATAACCAAAATTAAAGTTCCCATAAAAGGTTATAGTTTTTTTCCTTATACAGAACGTTAACTCTTGGATTTTTCTTAAAGATTTTAGAGTATGACAATATTTTTTTTGTAAATTACAATTTTGCTTTATTCATAGCTTTTATAGAGTTTTTGGGACACGTTTCATTTATAAATGTGTTAGTTTTCTGAAGGATGTAATTGACATGTTGATGCAAAACTGGTTAAATATTCAACGCATTTAATGATTTTCTGTTTAAAAAAGTTTATGTTTTTCAAATTTACCTCAAATTTTTCAATTTGTCTGACTGTTAAAATGGTTGAGGTTGTTTTTCTGAATAAATAGACCTCTTCAAAAAGTTTCTTTCCATAGTTATTTTGACTTTTTCTAACCTTTTTTTTTTTCAGAAAATAGCAATTGTACGCAGTTTAACTTTCCAAACTTCTGTTGTAAAGTGATCAGAAGACAAATGTTTTTTTAATGTCTCCAATTATTATATGGATACTGACTGAATTCAATTTTTAATATTAGACTGATATTTATATATTGTACATATACATAAACACATAAATTTGATGACAAAATGTGTCTGGTTATTTTTGATAGATTATAGACTTGCTATGGTTTGATAAGGCATAATTAAAATACCATTGAATTCATAATATTTTTTCGAAAAAAATTTATTTCTAAACCAATTGCAATATGCAAAGTCAATAGATAAATCCTTAGATAATTATTGTTTCGCTTCGTTCGTTTTAATATTTCTCATTTTCAATATGAAAATATCAACTGAAGTAATAAAAATTTAGAAGTTCAAAAGAAAATGATTACTTTGCATAATTTTAAAGAATTGTTAGCTCCACCAACACCATCACGTACAAGCATTGCATAATATTTGAAAATCGTTTACTTTCAGATCTAATTTTCTTTTCCTTAAAGTTTTTATTTATTATCCAAAGCATATTCAGGAAATTACTTCTTATAGTAAAAAGCTAATATCAGTTACAAAAACAGTGAAACCATTAAGTTAACCATTGAAGAAAATAACTGAATATGATTATACAAAAAACACATTCAAGAATGTGTTAAATTTAAGTAGCGAATGAATAAGAAAACATAATATTTAAGAGGAGGGTAAAAGAGAGGCAAAAGAGATGTTCTGGTATTCGATGATAAATGAAAGAAAACAAATTCTGAATCATTAAATTTTGGTTATCTTTAACAGTCGTTTTAATATATTTATGTTTTTTGTGGTGACTTCACTTTAAAAAGTATGCAAAAAAAAAAAAACAGTTTTTCAAAAGTTATTGTTGAAAAGTTGAAAGGATAATGAAAATTTTTCCGGTTAAATTATTTTCATTTGTTTAAAAAGTTTTCATTATTGAATTTTTTTACTATCAAATATTTTATTGAATAGATGCTATGAAAAGAAGTCTAAACACAGAAAAACAATCATGACCTCATGATGTAGAAACGGTATATAAAACTTTGGTTTAGTAATAATTGAGAGGTCTATAATAAACTAGTAGTATAAAAATCAATAAAATTTTTATATAACATTTTCGTTTACTACTTTAAGCCGAACTACTATTGATTTGCTGAACAGTTTCATCTGGTCATACTTAATACATATTAAAAATTTGAATCGACCCAAAATCAAAGCAATGCCAATTCGAAAAGATTTTGTAGGAATTTCTGTTTTTAAATAACTGAGTAATTTTAATTAAACACTTTTGGCATTTCAATTTCGCAATTGAGAAACTTTAAATGTTTATTCCGAATTCAAGGTAATTTTAATGTTTATTGGAACTCCCGAGCAATGAGAAAACAACTTTTAAGTTAATCAACGGAAATTTTCGGAGAGAATTTCATTATACACTATAGGATTTTATTATTGTTTTTCAATAATTTCAAAGGCAAAGAAATTTGATATTGGAATAAGAAGCGGAAAATTGAAATATTTTTCTCATTCATCAAAAAAAAATTCATGAACTCTTTTTTTCGGTTGTTGAAAAAACAAGACAACGTTAGCGAGCAGAACAACAACTTCAATTATTACTAACAAATTTTTCTGAATTCACAAATAAAACTTTTCGAGTAAGAGAGAGCCGCCTATATTTAATTTATTTCTCTTTTTCGAGTTTTATTTAAATTTTTTCCGCATACAAACCTAATTTTCCTTGCGAGATCTTAACTTCCTGCAATCAAATACCTCTAGAATCTTTTCTATACAGTTGCACTTATATTGAATTTTAAATTCACCTACCACAATTTGTTTTATAATATGATGCTTTTCACATAAGCCTTACTATTTTCGAGGCACTAGTATAAATATTATCATTATCCTAGTTTAAGTTTGAAAAATGAAAATTCATGAATTTTTTTTTTTTTTTGGATATTTTTTATTCGGCTAAAATTCCATTAACTGTAAGAGTACTTAAGTTTCATTTAGTTGGTGTAGCTTTGAACTTTTATAAATAATGAAAAAAAAATAATAAAAAAAATTTTTATAAAATTTATAAAAAAAATTTCATTTACAGATTTGCTGTTATCGTAGCAACAGATTGTGCATGTTGGTTACCAATTATTATAGTTAAATTGGCAGCATTATGTGGTAAGTCAATTAATGATTGTGTATGTGTTAGATAAATTTTATATTATGAACTTCATTATAATTATTATGTAGTGGGAAATTTGCAGCTTGTATTATGAATTTCAATTAAAATTTTATAATAATTTTCAACCCTCATGAAATAAAATGGAAATTATTGAAAATGTCGCTTTTTTTGATATTTCAAAGTAATTGTATTTATTTCATGAAAATTTGGAAATACTGGTATTGATAAATTAAAAGATGGTTGGTTCATAACAAATTTTTCTATTTTGTACTTTAAAATCTAAATTGTTTATTGAAAAATTTATTTGAATTGTGTAAACGTATTTGTTTGAGAATATTCCATGTGTAAATTTCGAATTTTTTTGGCGTTAGAGGATAAAAAAAATAAATAAAGAGTGATTCACTCTTCTCACCGATCAGTTGAATATCAATTTTTCTGGTTTGTTTAAAATTTGGTCTTTAGACATAAAATTTTTAACCAAAAAAAATGTGCTCAGTTTTATAGATTTTGCATTTATTCAAAATTTCCAAGTTGTTAACTTAAGTACTAAGTATTTAAATCAAAAATATTTTAATAATATGAAATACGAGTATTAAAAATTTCTTAAACTTTAAGGTGTTAGTTAAATTACTCTTGATGAAATCAGTTGAAGATTTTATACTCGTTGAAATCATGATTAATTGGAACTTCACTGCCAATAATTTTCAAATATTTTACTTACACATCCTTGCAGACATAGAATACATTACAAAGAATTTAGTTTTGTTTCTCTTCCACTTGGTTACAATAAAACCAATTTTGCTCTGATGAAAGAAAGGTTCTAATAATATAGCCTTCAAATTATTGCATAAAGTAATTTATGTATTTATTGTTGTAATAATATTTTGTTTTCATTTCTTTAATATTAAATTTTAATGAAATAATTCGTATTAAATCTTTCATTCAATATGCACCAAAATTGATGATTTTAAAAGGGACCGCGCCTATAATCACAATATGTGATGAATAATTTCCATTTATTTTATTCCAATTTTTGATTGAATTTTGTTGAATAATTGAAAAATTTCAAAAAGTAATTTAAAAATTTACGTATTTTTGTATTATTTTTTAAAGATTTTTAAATCAAATTCTAGAATCTTTATAGAAATACTGAAACAATGTGTGTAACTAATGTTCAAATTTACATTTTCAATTTAATTAATTAATTTTAGCTTTCTGTAAAAATCTTACTCTATATAGCTATTATTTGCTTTAAATAAATAATCATCTGATATTTAAAATATTAAAAACAGAAAAAATATTTTTTTTGAGTAATCCTTAAATTTATGTTCTTAAAGCTGCTAAAAATTTGTTTTCCTTCAATTGTAAGATAAAATCAATAGTAAAAACAAAATAAAAGAAAAATGGGATGAGAAAATAAATATTTTATTCTTGATTCGTTCTTCATATTTTCCTTGAAAATAATTTTAAATGATGAATCGAAGTCTTTACGCTGTCTCTATGAATTTCCGTTCGTATAACATAAAAATTTTGAATATAAAAAAAAAGCATGATTTTTAACTATGTATGAATAAAAATAATTTTCGGAATATCAAAAGGAAAGTAGATGTTAAGAATAAATTTATAACCAAAATAAGTTGTAATAGTGAGGAAGTTTCCCGACAAAATTTGTGTATTTTGTATATTTTTGGTATTTTAGTTTAATAAGAATGCTTGCCAGTTTAAATGACAGTGATAACTAGGGAACTGACGAATATGGAAATAATTTAGTGGGTTAAAATATTTTTAGTCCATAGAAGGTTATTTGACGCAAAATAATGCTAGAAGATGTAAATCGCTTCTCTCTTCCACGAGTTTGAAAATTTTATGAAGACAATGCAAAATTTTTGGTGAACCGCTTTTAAAAATCTTAACGCTGGGAGCCTGCTTTTACCTTTAAATAGGGAAAATTAGTTAGAAATTTATTTATATAAGAAAAGGTTTCTCGCAAATATCAATTTAGAAAATTGTCGTTATCAACTTCCGGCAGTGTGAAAGTTTTGCAATCAAAAATACGGACAAGCGGATAAAAAAAATTTATAATTTTATTGGAAATGTTCGTAAAACTCAATTAATTTAAAATTGCATTAAACAAATAGTTTCATGATTACATTGAATTTCATATTTAACCCAATAATAGTATTAACCTTCCATCTCGGGAATGCACATTATAAGTATATTTCACTATATTATATAGAGTCTAGTAAGTTTAAAGTAGGGAAATGTAAGAATACTGAATATTTTTTTATCATTTCATTGATATCAAATAAATTTTATGAAAAGTTATCATATTAAACATGCCCAAATATGTGTACAACTTCCGACGTACGTTTACGTTTAAGTTAAGATAAAAATTTTTCATATAGCATAAGGACTCAAGAAATAAACTTCGTCTTATCTCATTTTTAATATTGTTTTTGTTTTACTACACAAATTCGTTTTAAAGTTACTTTTATTCAAAATGTTGAACCCCCATTCGCATTCTTCCTTAAAATATCAGAACGCATCTTTAATCTTTGCTGAATACAAGTCGTACGAAAATTTAAAGCATGTATAAGGCAATTTAATAGTGAAATTATGTGTTTTGTTAAAGACAATAAGAAAGACGATTTGAAAAGAAAATCCAAAATAATTTAGACCTGTAAGATTAACAGTTTTAGATAATTTTTAGTATTTCTTTAGTATAATAAAAGTCACGAAACATTGGATAGGATGTCAATAAAAGAATTAGTAGTAAGCTTAAATTTAGCTGTGAATTATTTTTAAATACAGAACAGGGGCTATGTGAAGAACTTATTGTTTTCCAAAAAGAAATTTTTATGGAATTTGGTCCAGCAAGAACGAGTTTCGGAAAAGTGATCAACACTACTTATATTGCCTGTCCTTGCAAGAGTACTAAAACTTTTGTTCAGTGATATCTTTCAAAAGCATTTTCATGAGATCTCAGCTTACACAACTATAGTTTGTCCTTTGAGTCTCACACTCTGAATAAATTTTTTTATGTAAAGGAGTTAAATTACAACTGGCGGCTATAAAATCAAATTTAATTTAAGTACTTATTACATTTAATATTTTCAAGGAATGAGTAGATAAAATTCAATGGTTTTATGTTTTCAAGACCATCCTAGAAACTTGAAATATATTTTTAAAGCTTGTGAGTTCTAAGTATAATTCATAGACATTGTTCGACTTTCTATGCGTTCAGTTCAAATTTAAAAATATTTTTAAATGGCCTGTTCTAAAATATATGTTATTTATTCAACCACCATTTCGTAACAGTATAACTTCACTCACGCCTTTTTTATCGTAAAAACACATTTCAACAAGTGTAAGAAACCAAAACAAAGTTTCTCTTTTTCATTAATAATTTTCTTTCTATATACGCCTTGGTTTCTCTTTCCAAGTGTATTGTCTCAACTCATCAACAATTTTATGTGAATGCGAAAAAATTGCTTCCTCCCTTCATTGATTTTGTTAATATAATCCAATTGTGATTTCTCACTCTTACTTTTCTTGCATTCTCCTTTGAATTTAGCCTAAAAACACGCAATTTCGTACATATTGATTTTATAAAATTTGTGTATTATTTTTCGAGGCATATTTTATTATTTTTAATAAGTGCTTATGGAAATATGGTTTATATAAATTTTATCATGTGTTTAAGTAGCTTACTGTTTTTATTTTATTGCATAGGCAGAATTTCAGAGTTGGGGAGGTGATTATGCTGAAGATAAAGTAAATATCATCAATAAATCGTTGTATTTATTAACAAGAAAAATGGCAATGATGAAATGTTCATTTTATTTTTTGTGTTCTCTTACATGACAAAATTTGCTCTCATTATTATATACGAAAAATTATGAACTTACATAAAATATTCACAATAACCTTTGAAATATAGAAAGAAATTGGAAAATAAAGATTTTTCCACCGAATACACCGGAGATGTCAAACTTATGTGATAAAACGATTTTTATTGTTAGCCCCAAGGGTATATCGTATAAAAGGTTATTATTTTTCTTTTTTTTCTTCTGAGAATTTAATTGAGATTATAATGATGCCATTAAATAGTAGGTGATAAAGTTTACAGGTTTTTTGTTAATACATGTACTTTAATTTTTGCAAATGAAATATGCAGTCTATATTTTAAACATTATTCAAAAAATTTTTTTATTTAGCATGCAAAGCGCATTTAGTTTTATATCAAGTTTTGATGTTAATACTGAAACATATTTATGTTTAAGAAATGCCATAAACTTGACCGGTCATTAATTTGTTAAACATTTGTTTTGTTTGAGTTCTAATTCTGTTTCTTAGTAAGTTCGTCAAATTTCAAATGTATATATGAATCATCATGCATACTAATTTCTGTTATGGCTCAGAAGAAAAGGTGGTTGCGGCTTAATCCCTTTAAGGAGTACTACAAGCTCTACAGGGCATATAATTCCATTCCAGTCATTTTACACGTCTTTGGTGTTTTTTTGTTTGATTTCGCTTACCGAACTTTTGTAAATATATATTGAAAAACTTCATCATATAATATGTATGTAAATAAAATTTCAAATAAGAAAAAATTTTAATCTTTTGTTCACAAGCATTCTTTTAACGCGAATTCAATCAAAAACTTAATACAGAAATAAAAATATTTGCCTCAAATTATGTAAAAATGAAGAAAGTCATAAGAAATCATGGAAATTTCGAATTGAAAACTGAAATCCTTCAATAAATTATGCATTTTAAATAAAACGAACCATCTAAAATTTTTTGGTTTTTTTTAATAATAAAAACATCAGTAAATTGATGAGATTATTTCCAAGGATAATTTAATTTTAATTGTATAAATTATCGTTGACCTTGAAAGCTTTATCTATGTTAAATTATGAGTCCAAAATGAGGATGTCCAAAATTCATAAAAAGTTTTGCCTTTACATTGTTTTTAGCATTTTTCCAAAAAAAATTGAAAAAAAGTGAGACTTTGCGATAAATCTATTTTTCTTCAGAAATAAATTTTTCCATACGCCCCTGCGTTCTTAAAAATTAATTATTTATCAGAAAGTATAATTCTTTAATTTAAATAAGCCAATTATCTCCATTAACTCCATCATTGTGCGTCAGTATTTCTTTTAAATTACAATAAAATTCTTCTATCGATCATTTTCTTAAAATATTCAATAACGCTACAATAATAATTGGAGGATGTTTTGTTTAAATTGCTAATTAATTTTCAATTGTTAAAAATAAATGTGCTGTTGCACACAGCGCCGACTTTATCCGAGACATCTAAAAATTCGTTATTATCATTTTCAATTTATTACATTTTTTCTGCAGCCTTCACAAATAAAATTTTTTATAATCGTTTGGTTCTAATTATTTTCACCCAAATTCAAATACATTCGTAAGGGTACACAAATGCTTATTTACTTTTTTTTGTATTACTTTAATATTACATTTTCTGTTCCAACTTTAATTTTCAGTTCAAAATTACCTCTGGACCTTGTAATTATTCTTTAGTATTTTTGAATAAATTAAATGGTAATATAAATGAACTCCCTTGAACTTATATAATATATATAAATTGTATAACAGTAAATATCATTAAATTTTATACTCAATATGCAAACAAGTCTAATAGCAGTTGAAAATAATAATTTATTTTAATCTTGTTATTTTATAGGAATGAAAATTCCGGCATCTTTATATGCATGGTTAGCAGTTTTAGTACTTCCTGTAAATTCAGCATTAAATCCAATTTTATATACCTTAACAACAGCATCATTCAAACAACAGGTGAGTTTTTTTTTAATTTTGCTTTTAATAAAATTAGAGATAAGATATAAAACGTTTTTTTTTGGTGATTTACTCTAAGTAAGGGGCAAAGTATTGTGCTTTACCTTCATTTAGTATTTTTAAAATGTACGAATATCAATTATTTGGAATTATTTCAATGACTTATTTAAATTTACCATTATTAAAATTTTTGGAAATGCATGATTTGGAAATGCTTCTTCACTCCTCTGTTCGCCTGAATAAAACAAGAGCAAAAACTGATTATTGAATTCAGATTTGCTCGGAGCACTCGTTCAAGCAATTTCCATTTAACTTGCAAAAACAATCTAGTCATACATATCTTTTAAACTCAAAAATATAATTAACAACCTTTCGGAAAAAATTGCTGTTGTGTTGCTTACATTTTTAGTCATTAGCTTAAGAAACAGCCGTAAGGGTCTCACAGAGTTTGAATTGTAAACCTTCTCTTTTATCTCTAACCATTTCTTTTATATTTTAGATTCTGCTATTAAATTGGCTTTCAATATTTTTTAAATTTCTTTCAATATTTTTCAATTATCTGGAGCTTATATTTTACAATTATGTTTTTGATTTTTGAGTTTGATTTTTTTTTGTTCATACTTCCTGACCTTCAGTAAAGCGTTCTTAATATTTTATATGTTAGTATATTTGAAATGCTTGAGCATATTTACCTACGATCATTTAAATACCCGGAAAACAATTCTTTTCATTTTAGAAATGAAAGTTGCTTAAAATTTTTAGAAAAAGCATTTGCCCCCAAAATGGTTTTCAAAATTTATAGTAGGCTTAGTACTAAGTGTCGCTTAGCAGATTTTGATAAAATAAATACCAAGCTTAATTATTCAATTGGAAATAACAAAATAGACTATTTCGGCTTAACGAAAAATAATATGAATTAAATGATAATTTTAGAAAATAAAATCGAATCATTACAAAATTTGAACCGCCCTAATGATAAAATTTATTAAGATTATTAAGTACAATACGGTTAATTATATTAAAGAGTACGGAACTGCCAACTGGGTTGAATTTATGTACTAAAAATAAAGAAATTGTTCCTGATATTTTTTATTTCCTAAACTATTTTTGTAAATTTATCCTGTATCCTCTTTTAAAGATAAGCAAATTCAATGGAAAATTATGTTTTTTAATATTTCTATTGTCATATTGTTATATGTACCAAGCGGAGATAATTGTATGTGTGTCTGTATTTCTATTTATAAATTTTTTCTATTTATTTTAGTTTGCTGTATATATATGAAGTAGCAAAACGAATATTCAAAAATTTTTCCAGTCAGTTATATATTAAAAAAATTTTAAGATAAAAGTAACAAAACATAAAATTTTTTTTATTTAAAAACATTTTCCCTATTTTGGCTGCTCACTTTTAAAATCATAAATAATTCTGTTGTGCTCTTGTAACGTGAAAAGTCCTTCAAAAACTTGAACAAATACTCTAAAAGAATTGAGAATATTTTAAGTAAAATGTACAAATCTATCTAGATATATGTATTTGCATATGTACGTACTTAAGCTAAATTTTAAAAGTGTACACAGACATTAGAGCTAAGGATGGGTTGGTAAACTTTTGCACGTGCAAATTTTCATGTTTTCCATAAGAGAAAAAAAAATTAACTTTTTAAAAGTTTATCCTGTTACATTTTTTAACAATGGAACCAATGATATTTCAGTAGGGGAAAAAGATAAGATATTTTTTGGTTTCAATATAAATTTTGGAAGTTGTATGTGATGATATACGATTTTAATAATATTAAATAATACAGAAATCAAATTAAAAGTGATTTTAATAAGGATTATTTTCGTTTTTCTTTGTTTGCTAACAGAAAATGTTGCTGTACATGTTGAGAAATACCATTCTTTTTCCTTTTATTCAAAAGAAAATTTTTAGTCATTATCCTTGTATTTTATTCATAATTTTAAAAGGAATTTTTACATACACTTGTACACACATATTTACATTTTTATATAGAAATATTCTTTTGTGTTTTCATTATTATTTATTAATTTAATCGTAAAAGTTTATAACAAAATTTATCAACATTTTTCAAAAATAAATTTTATGCCCTATAAATATAAATTTTGTATAAAAATTTGCAGCATCAAAAGAAATTATTATTGAATTTAAAAATATTACTGAAAACTGGTAAAAGGTTAAAATGTCTACGAATAATTATTTAAAAGTACTTTTTTTTTTCTTTTTGAATTTAATATTCTTGTAAGAATTTTTATGGATTTTAATTATTTTAGATTTATATTGAGAAGACTTTAATATTTTGTTAAAATTATGACATAATTGAAGATTATGTTTTCATATTGAGACTTTGTTATTTCAAATCACATTTTTATATATGTAATCCTTTGTAAAATTTCTCAATTTTTAATCGGATGAATTTAGAATAATAGTAGGAAATAAGATTTAATTAAATCATAAATTAATATAAATATTGCATACAATTAGGAGGAAATTTATATTTCAAAATTATGGGAAACAGTTATTATTATATGGACCCTTCATAGCATTGATTTACCGATGATTTACCAAAAAAAATATTTCTTGGTAAAGAAAGTTAACAAAATGAAAATTTTAATAAATTTTTTAGCACAAAATATTTGAAAAAAATGGAATACATGCAAAGACAAATCGGGATTTAAAAAACTAAATCGATCATATCCATGGTTGTAAAACTGTGCATTTCAATCTTAATTTATCAATCTAGAACTTGCATTTGCATAATATATAGTTTCCCTTCTAATATTGAAAACGCTCTGTTAAAATAATTTTGTCAGTAACATAGAACTCCCATCAATAGAAATTTATTACTTCTATTTTCGGCATTAAGGTATAACGAAAAGGCAGCAAACTGACAATTTACAAAGCCATAAGTGTAATAACAATAAATCTTAAGGTAGGGAAATACCTAGAAATCTTGATCTATAGTAAAAAAATCGTCAATCGATATCTTTTAATAATAGCAGTTTGAAATTTTATGGATTTGCGTATAAATGAAGAATTACTTCACAAATTATCGAAAAACGGACTTAATATAAAGGTTATTTTAAAATGTGCCCTTAATAGCCTGACATTAATAGTAACAAATTGAACTCCCGACCACAGAATTCACAATTCGATATAGTTAAAAAATTGAGTTTTTAGAAACATCCTAAAAATGTTTTTTTTGTACAAAATAAACTCAAATATTGGACGACAAAAACTTTATACTTGCAATAAAGCTTTCGGCGTTTTATTTCATGACAATATTGTGATTTTTTTCGAATAATAATAAGCTGTTTTATGTCAATAAAATTATTCCACTATACAGGGTGATTCAGAAGGTTATACAACAACTTATACCATATGGTTAGAAGATCGAAAATGGTTAAAACTTTTGTTCTGGACTGGGTGCCTGATCTCAAGGGTTTTCGAGTTCCAGGGCTTTTAACGAATTTTCATGAAATTTTTACTTATCCAAGTTTTTTTGGATTATAACTTCCATTCTAAAAAACATCTTCAAACAAAGAGTTTCTGAAAGACCTAGCAAAGGGCTTAAAATAAATATCTTGCTTGATTCTGTATTTTATGTATCTTCGGAATACTAAGCATTTGAACTTTGTGTAAAATCAAATTTTACCTTTGTTTTATTGTTTCAGTTTTTTCTAAATAGATAATTTCGTAAAGTATTTTTTGTAACTTTGAATTTTTTTTATAGAATTTTTCCCAGCTGCTTAAGCTTTAATTTAAATGCTCAAACATTAAAATTTTTTTAGGATACAGAAGATATAGCACTAAAACCATTTCCAAGTGTAGATTTTAGAGGCCCTATTTTTCAGTATTTTTGATTTTTATTGATTTTAAGCGCCTGTAATTATCAACTATCATTAATTTTGAATGACAAGAGTCACTCGATAAAACACTTGACATGTTTTTATGAGCAGTTATTTTGATAAAAAATCCGCGTTTTAATATTTTTATTGAAATTTAACAAATAATAACAAAATTGAAACGAAATTTTATACAAACCTTTTATTTTGAAAAACAAAAATTGAATTTAAAAAATTTTAAATTTGTGAAAAGAAAAACTTGAATTTTGTATTAGGAAAAACAAAATAAAAATCTAGTAATCAAAAAAAATTTTTCGAAACTTTTCTTGGTAAAGAAAATTGATAAATTTTTTATTTTTGCCAATTTTTATAAGAAATGGTACCTATATGGTTTGAAATTTTTAAATGCATTTTTCTCAGATTGGGTGCAATTTGAAAATTTCAAAAAAATATTTTCGAAATCTAGACACCATTTGGCATCTGAAGTTATTAAAATTATCCAGCTGGAGCGAATTTTCAAAGTCATGCCATATAAATATTGACATTTATTTTAATAGAAAAAATTTTTTTTGAATAGGAAAATTTAATTATTTTAACAAAATGGAGTTTGTAAATGATATGGTATTAATATTTTAAAGTTAATAAATAATTAATAAATAATTTGATGCGATTAATAAATTTTAAAGAAATTTCTACAAAAACTAAAATTGGTGTACGAATGATGCAACTAAAGAGGTGTTCCGGTTAAACAATTAATTTAAAATATGCGATTGAATAGAAATATGTATATTTAAAAGAAGAAAAACATAAATTTTTGCCAATGAGGTGAATTTTCTAGGAGAATTTGGTGTTTGTTTAGAGAAATTTGTAAATTTTTTGATAATAGGAATAAAGGAATATTAAATTGAATTTAATTTTAGTTTTTTTAACATCTGTTTTGATTTTAATTGAATTTGTTGCCCACAATACTTGTGGTTTTTGTACTACATATTCTGTACCATAAAAATCTATTTTTTAGAAGCTATTTTTTGAAGTTTCTATCTTTTTCAGAATGGAGGTTAATTAAAAAAAACTTGGATAAGTAAAAATTTCGCGAAAATTCGTTAAAACCCTTGGAACTCGCATACTCTTGAGATCTGCGGCACCCAGTCTGGAACAAAAGTTTTACCCATTTTCGATCTTCTAACCTTTGGTATATGTTGTTGTATATAGTTTTCTATATCAAACTGTGTATGCGTACGTAGATTGTATTTATTTTATTAATACATAAAAATTCTCAGACTCGTTGAGAAAAGTTTCCCTGAATGGAAAATCTTTTAAACATATTTAAGTAAATATTGAATTACCGGTTCAGATGTGATTTTCCTTTATGTAAAACCAATTTTTTGCCTAAATATAATCAGCTGCTGGTTAATAATTGCAAGCTAATGTGGTTGTCAGTTTTATACATTTTAAGTTCTACATGATACAAGAATTAGGGTGTAAAAAGCAACATATAAATGTGAAACAAATAAACAGGCATATTTCTTATTATAACGGAATTCAATTGTGTTTACAGGACCTAACTATAATTACTCTATTTTATTTCATTTACATTTAAATTTTTTTTTTCCAATTATTGCATATTATAATTTTTATTTTATGTGATTTTTAATATTAAATTTCTATTAAAGTTGGTCTCTTTTATACAGATACGACGTTATGTTTGGACAAAACAATCCGACACAAGAATCTCACGTTCAAATACGGCATATGAATCGGCATATAGTACAAGTATGGGTCAATTTACAAATGGGGCATCAAGTCGAAAAAAATTGTTACAGCGTAATCTAAGTTATGTATAGCATTAGGATTGTTAAGTATGGAAGTGCAAGTGGGAAATATTATTGATATTAAAAAAAAACAAGGAAAATAAAAGAATTGACAATTGACATTATTTAAGAAAATTTATGTAAGTTTAAAATATCAACTAAATAAACAATTTAAAATATAAGTTCCTTCAAATTTAAGCTTAAATCTTTCCTAGTTATATAATGGTAGTTTATAATAAATTTAACAAAAAAATATTTTTAAAATTAAATTAAGCAAGTTAAAAATGTCAAAAACAGAAAAATTGTGATGTTAAAAAAATAATTTTACTTTTTACCTGAACACAAAAATATTTTTAAATGAAGAATAAAAAAGAACAGCTTAGTCTATTTCTGAAGAGATTAAACTAGAATTTATTTTACAAGTAATGAACTAATTACGAATTAAATTCAAAATAATTCAAAATTTTAAATTCCTAATCTTGAATCTAAAACTCCTATTGCAACATTTTACTTCAAAATCTGTTTTTCATATCTCATTTTAATTTACAAATGTTCTTAAATTATCAGAAAGTAATTAGACAGTGCCGTTTCAATGGATACTAATTTTATGTAACAATTGCTGGTTTCTATATAAACTATATGTAAACAAGTCCCGAGAAGCAATTCTCAAACCTTAAGCGCTGTAAATGGCATAAATATTTTTTATCACAATCATATGTAAGTACAATAATGGTATTGCGAAAAAACTCTATGAAATAGAAATGTTTAATTACTTTGTAATGCTCTACAAAATATAACAAGTTCAGTAGTGAATTCCGCAATGAAGCAATCAGTATAAAACATTTTGAAATTTTCGAAATTTTTTGATTTGGCTATTTATATGACATATAAATGGTTCTTTTCTGTTAAGTGTAGATTTATTTAAGAATTTTGTTACGAAATATATTTTAAAACTTGGGATTAAATGTTCTCCCTTTTCGAGAAATTATTTGAAAAATGACACTATCAGTTGAATTTTGTTTATTCTTTCATTTACGCGTGCTGTTTTAGGGAGCCGAGCCCAACTTAATACTTGTATATTCTACATTGTATAATGTTAAATGCAGAATGTGTGATAAAATTTTTTTATTTATTTCTTAAATTATCAGATGGTTTCTATTAAAATTATATTATTCTCAATTTTAAATGTAAAATGTTTTACTCTTTAATTTGGTATATTGTTAACAGAATAATTGTGGGAGTTTCAACGAATTTAATAAATTCAATTTCATGGAAAAATTGCTCTTATTTGTCGTTATTAAAAAATTGTGTTTTAATTTCAATGAATTTTTTGCTTTTGTTTAACATTTTATTAATAAAAAATTCCATCCATTTCCGCAAAAAAATAAGTAAAAACAATTAATTTGTTATTAAAATCTTTTTAGAAATCGTAATTATGAAATTATTTTTGTAAAAAAAATATTGTTAATAGCCCTATTATATCTATACTATTATTAATGTAATTAAATTATTTAAGAATATTATAAAATTTTAAAATAAATATCTGTGATGAAATCAAGTTGAACTTTTACAATATAAATTTGTATACAATTGGAAAAGTTCGTATATTTAAATGTAGGAATAAATGTGTAAGGTATTTATTTGTAAGTTGAATTAATTTGAAATAGAAAATGTGAAAAAAAAGTTAAAAATGTCAATAATAATCAATAATAAATTATTACTTATATTAAGGTTATATTATATGAAAGGTTATTTAATAAAAATTTTAATAATGTCTATACTTTACGCTTGCAATTTTTAAATATTCTTACTGATTCTAACTTGGTCATTCAGTTCTTATGCATATCCAAACTGAGCAAGTAATTAATATTTATTGCCATGCAAAAAAATTTCGATATATGGAGTTCCCTTTATTCTGATCGGATAGTTATACAAATTTTCATGTCCAAATTACAGGTTTTCGTTCTACAACTTAAATTGATTGGTTTACCGATGATTTTTCATTGAAATTTGCTTAAAAACTGTCTTTCTAAATATCGTAATTTTTGTCAATTTCAATTGCTTTAAAATGAGTTGTTCTCTATAATTGTATAATATTTTAAAAATTTATTTTAATTTATAAACAGATTTAAAGTCTTCGGTTTTAAGCTTGGTCACATAAAAGTGGAAATGGCATAAAATAGAGCAAAATAAATTAAGCGACAGAAGCATGTTAACGATTATACGAAAATTTAAATGTTATATGCACGAGTAAAAATTACTTAAGACTTGTCTATAGTAAATAGAGGGCGACAATGCAATGAGTCGCCATTAAACAAATAAATATAATTTTTAATTGAAACTCATGTTCCACATAAAAAATATTAAAGCAAATAGGTGGAACATGCTAATTCTTTTCTTAACAACTCTTTTACTTAAGCTGATGTAATTGCGATAATTAAGAATTTAAAAAGGAGCACATTAATTATTGGAAGGCAAGATGCAATGACAATTAATACTTAATCTTCTGATATTAATACTTTGATTGGAACTCAAATATATCAAACGTGGCAGTAATAACGTGCAGTCCATCTTTTGATATAATATCGTGAAATTTAAATACGCTGTTATTAAATTATGCTAATAAGGGAGAAATGTTCTTATTACCTTTGGTGGATCTAAAAATGGTAAATGATGTAAATTTATTGCATAATCACTATTAGCTGTTAAGCATATTTTAAATTTTGTATCCTAAGTTTTGTATGCCTGGTCAGTTTTTCCCTCTATAAATTGAATTATTCATAAAAACAAATAAAAAAATAATTATGCCTTGGTTTCTAATTTAGATCAATTCACAATAAAATTGATTACTTACAAAATAAAATATAATGAAGCGTAAACAAAAAAAAATAACATTGTGTAAAATACAAAGCCATACTATATTAATCCAGTCACTTCATAGGATTTTGAACGCAGAAGTTCAATACTTTACTGTATATTTGAAAATACACGCTAAACACTAAAAATATAGATCGTTCGGAAATTCAATCTGCAATAAAGAAATGTTGGAAATGTAACGCAAATCTTAAGTATAAATTTTGTCGTTGCCTCCTGAAATTTTTTTTCCTTTTGAACTTAAAATTTAAAAAAAATATTTAAATTTCAAAATGACAGATTCAGATATTGAAGGGTGTTAGAGTAAGTTTTCTTTAAGTCTTCAAATCTTGTTAAATTTCCTTATTTTGCAGTGAATTGGAAGGCGAAAAGTATTGGGATATAATTTCATAAACAATGTCATTTATGTTATTTTCGAACAATAGATTATTTAGAAGTTTCAGAATTTGTAGAGTGCGTAAACAAAAAAAGCTTAACTAAAGTTTTTGTATACTGTTTAACGGTGCAACTTAGAAATTTTAGTTCTAATGTAGAACTTTCAGCGCAGCGTGCATAAACGAAAATCCCCTATGATTAAAATTTGATTTCAAGATTTACGTTTTGTGTTAAATTTCAATTTTGTGCTTAATAACATTTAATAAGACGAGTATTTGAAAAGGTATAGCCTATGAAACATGTCCAGTGATTGCTAATTAGATTTTGAAGTTGTGGAAACTTGCCTGCTTCATAGCTTTTTGTGTATACTAATAATAAAAAATATTTTGAGTCAAATTTTACTCAATTACAATTTGTAAATAATTCTACCTTTATAGGTACTTATAATTGCTTACCCAAATGTTCTGTTAGGAATTCGTAAATTGTTTTTGAATGATATTGAAATATTTGTGCCATCTTTTCTATAAACAGATTTTTCTTATTTATCTCTTAGATTTACTTTATATTTTACTAAATTTAATCACGTGAAACTTGGTGTCATCACCATTATACCCATTTAAGATTATAACTTGTTATGATGTAAACAAGAAATAAAAAGTCAAAAAAGGTTAATGAATTCCCTACATCAAGGAACAATACTCTATTCATATACATAGTGTTATTCTGGTCTTAATAGACTTGGATCAATAAATATAATATTTACGGTAGATATATACTATATTTATAAAAAGTTTACATGGTTATCATTTTTTTATTTTTCAAGAATAAAGTGAAAAAATAAAGTGGGACGATGACGAGATATTTTTCAAATATTTACCAACAATCAATTTCTTGAAAATGATATTCTTATGTCCTAGGTGTAGAGTGTGTAGACCGCATATAAATCATTTACTTGTGTATATAATAAAAACTATTGAATTTCATTATTTACAAAATACAAAAAAAAAAGAAGAATTTTGTTACGACATTATAATAGATGAGTCAAAATGCTATTAGAAAATTTGTTTGTTTGCATGTTTAAGTGTGTTTATTGATTTCTGTTTTGTAAGCGAGTATATTTTGTGAATAATCGAAACACCAATAGTTTTTTGATGGTACCAGTAAACAGTTGTATTACAATTAGATTTCTAATGTACTTGATAAACATAAAATCACTGACATACATACGAGTAATCCTATTGAAAACACGTTTTGTGGCAAATCTTTGAATTTTATTGAAAAGCTAACTGCTATGTAATTGGTACGGTAAATGTTTAAAAGGATATGTGTAAGAGTAAAGTCAATTGGTGAGTAAATATTTGTTAAGAATTTATTTGAAATATGTAAACAGAATTATTTTAGCATTTAGGACTAATTTTATTGCAGTTAAATTTTCTTAATAACCATAAAATGTAGTATGAAATTCTGAGATCTATTTTATATATTTTTGAAACCAGATTGGTTCTGTTCTGTTTACATATTTATAACACTCAAAATAGTTACATTCACCCGGCTTTGGATTTAATTGTCTTTTGCTCTAAAATCTAAAAAACCAAACCAAAACGATTTTCGTTCTAGATCCTTTGTGAATCCGCTGCCAATTCCAACTCTTAAGCAAAATTTTAGTTATATTTTGATATCGATTCATAAATCATGTGACTTTGAAAAAATTTCACAAATAACATAAATTTCTCTGTTATAGCATTGTTAATATTTATGAGGAAGGGCAGCCTAAGCTTATTAAAATACTATCCAAAAGAATTTCAAATATTTGATTTTCTGTGAATTGAATCACATGAACCGAGTAGTTTGTGCAGTGCACATGTTTATAATTTCTTTATATGCAGCTTTAAATTAATTAAAGCAAAAGTGTTTTTATTTTCAAATTAATAAAATTTTA